CACAAAAACATTATACCCTGATTTCCCATTTTCAATGGGTTCAGGGTATAAAAAGAAGAGTGAAGAGACGCGCTTTAATGTTGTAAGCTCGAAGCAAAATGGTTGCATTATGTCCGAGTTAAATATTGGTGGAGCCGGACGAGAATGAATCTACGACATACATATACATACAAATGTATGAATGTACATATATATAAATATATACATACATATGTATATAATTTATACAAATATTTTTAAAGTTTTTTGTTTTTTATTTTTGTAAATATGAAAAAAATAAAGGCAAATATCAAAATTGATAAACACAGAAAAATATTTTTTAACTTATTTCCTAACTTGTATTTTATCTATAAATATTTTTTTTCAGTTATTTAAGTTGTTTTAAATATGATATATGTATGTATGTATGTACATATTGCACTAGCATTATAAAATATTTCTGATTAAGGCACACTTTACTCTTTTAAATTCTTTGCAGTCTTACTGTAGATTTAAATAAATTCATGCATACATACATACATACATACATACATATGTATGTATTATCAACACATTTTCGTTTGACTTAGCTTGCGATAGAGCAGCGGTAATTCTCTGTGAGACAATCGCAACCAGGGCCACTGAACCAGCTAATTTAATAAGTCAAACGCAATATAAACAACCAAGTTAACACGCACACACAAGTGTAGTCACGCTCATTCTCTCTCTTTCTTTCGTTATCTCTCTCTCCCTTTCCCTCTTCCACACGCACAACAATATTTTTCCAATTGAACTGATGCCATTTAATGAAAATCAACACTTCCGCCCTGCTAGACATCAACGAATATGAATCGGAGAATATTCCACAACTACAACGTGTATAGGTAGTGTGAGTGAGTGGTCGTGTCTGTGTATGTGTGTGTGTGTGTGCTTGTGCTTATGTGCAAGTATAACGAGCTACAAATGCTTACCGCAAATTGTACACACACATACACACATATTTGCATTTATATTTGTTGTACTCGTCATGTTGTCATTTCATAGCGAAAAGCAGACGTGACACATTCGCCTCAAACAGCCTCAAGTTCAGCCCGCTGCGCCCCTCTCCCATCAAAGCGGCATTGCCATAGCCCTTGTGATTATCAGCAGAGTGACGAAAGAGGGTATACTATGGCATGGGCTAAATAAAACATGACGAAGTCGACTAAAATATTATTGATAATGAAATAAATGTACAAACGTAAATTAATATATTATTAATTACATATATGTATACATATGTATATATGTATTATATAAATTCAATTCAAATTAATATAACTACATACATACATATCTCTGTATTTGTATATTACATATAGGAAAAATATAACTTTATTAAAATATATTAATTATTATTTAAAAATCTAAACAGATATACATATAACATATGTACAAATTTAGTTTCAATATAATTTATTTAATTAAAGACAACAAACATAACTATTAAATTACCAGCAGAAAAATTAATAAAAAGTAATTTAAAATTTAAGGGAGCAAAAATATATAATATAAAAAATAAATTAAGGACACTTGATGTCTAAAAAATGTATATTATACATACATACATAGATAGTATGTATTTACGTATATAGACATATTTTAAATAATAAAACACAATATTAAAAGTAGAACATTTTTTATAAATTACATTTTGACTTTTATTTTTTATTTTTATATTTTATACGTATTTTATATTAAAATTTTATTGAATTTTAGAACCTTCTCCGTTCAATAATAAGCATATCCGCAGTGCATATCGCAGCGTACCAATTGAACCTAAGGAGCCAGCCCCTCGACTAGCTGAGCTGGTAGATTCGACTCCTGCTCACAAATATTGTTGAACAAAATTACCATGAATAACTGTCATTTGGCTGTTGTCAGTGTCGCGTTGTTGTTGCTGTTTGGCTCTAAGTCGTGCACATTACATACATATACATATGGTAACTTGCATGGGTGAGCGTAAGGACCGCAGGACATCATGCCTGGGGGAGCCAAGGTGGGGCCTGGCAAGCCGGTCAGTTGGCATCGGTACATGGCCGAGCGGTCACGTTCGAATTGTATGACCGGGACGTGCAGTTTTTAGCTGGACGCAGGACAAGGACATTGCGCAATAAGCACAAGTTTTATGCAATAAAATTAGCCCAAAAAACCCACACACACTGGCAAGAAGAAGAGAGAGAGACAAACACACGCAGAACTTTGCTGCTCCTGAGCTGGCTGATAAGATAATTTTATTTTAGCCGTTATTGCATAAAGTCATGTGAGCTGCGGAAATGAGTTGAGCTGAAGTAAACCGTTACGTGACAGCTAGCCTTGGCAGGATACGTGAGCCAGCGGATCAGCCAGGGGCAGCACAGTGAGCAATGCGAAGCACTTGCCGCAGCAGCAGGAGGAGGTGTAAATGGATTCTAATAAGATAATTGACTTGTTTGCGGATTGATCCAAGTGCCTGTTAAGTTCCAACTAAACTAAGGGTCGCTGCGAGGGCGGGGCTGATGGATAACCAATTTCCAGAAGATTAAATTAAGCTCTTCTATTTATAAATGTATGTATATCCTATATTTCTTATCTACAAATAAAAGGTTTTACATGCATATGTATGTATGTATGTACATATGTATGTACAATGTATACATATGTATATTTTCATTTATTAGTGTTATTTACTAAATTATTAAATTTAAAATCTTCATCAATCATACATACATACATACATTCATACATACGGTGACGAACTATGTAAATTATTGGCACAGATAGGTTTTTAAACTTTATGGCAATTTTTCAAGTATTTTGAAACGGTTTTTTAATGAAACAAAAAATTAACTAAGTAGAATAAAGTATTTATTAAGTTATACAAAAAAAAAATATTGCAATAAACTTCATCGTACATTTTTTAAAAATTAAATAACCAAAAAAACCTAAATTTTGCTGAACAAAATTATTGGCACACCTAAAAAAAAACTTAAGAAACATAGATATTTTATGGAAAAAATGGTCTACAACTAAAATTAATAAAACATTAATAGTACAAGCATACATATGTAAATATGTACCTATGTACATACATACAAACATTTATTAATATACTTTTCCCAACTTAGCAAATATTATCTTTATCCTGATTATTGCATACATGTACATATGTACATACGTACATACGTACCATAACCCACATACCCTATAATTATGTAGAGTACTTTTGCATATTCCTGCCGTAATATTTATTTCTCTCTCCCCACCACATCCGCATTTTATTTGCTTATCAAAGTGTGTCAGCGCCACAAAGTCTTTACGGTTAAAATAACTCAAAGGAAAACATCAAACAGTTTTCGGCTGACCTTTTAAGTTCGTCGAATTCAGCTGATAACTGTTTATTCAAAAAGTGATGCCGTCAAAACAAGAAAGCGAAAACAAGCTGAGCAGCGCACAAATTAGGCAAAAGCTAACGGGGCTCGCCACTGAATCATTGCGCACTCAAACATCACTAAATCGCGAACACACACATACATACATATGCACATACATAAATATGTATATATGTATATCTAATATTTGTATATACATATGTATGTACGTACATATGTATGTACATATGTATGTATACGCCTTGCCATAGGCCTTTCGCATAATTTGCCTTTAACTAACGAGCGACGGATATTATGAATTTATAACGAACTTTGCAATTTACATATGTATGTATGCATGTATGTACAGTAATATTATGTAGATTCGGTGCGAAAAATTGGGCGTGCTAATCGCGATCAATTGAAAGCAAAGAACAACAACTAAAGGGACGCAAAAGATACCCAGCTCGCATACATACATGCATATGCATATACATACATTCATACATATGTACATACTATGCGGCGAATTAAAATGAGGCGAAAATTATAAATAGAGCGAATTGTGCAAGTCTACCCCTTCAAAGTACATTGTATGTACATATGTATGTATGTGCATACCTACATACATTAGAGGTGGAGAAGACATCGTGGTTTTTTAATATACAAATGTATGTACATATGTATGTACATGCATACATAAATATGTATGTATGATACTTGAATGTGTGTTCAAAGTAGCTTGTTTTGAATGCCGACCTTGAAAAATTAATATTTACATACATATGTATGTACATACATACATACTATGTATGTACATATGTATACTCCGTTTGCGATCAAAAGCAATCAACAAAGAGAAGGCAATTTAAGGCAAAACCAGAGGCATTTAACGAAATGGGGAAAAGGCAGAGAAGACAACAAGCGCTGATAGAAAACAACGGAGCGCTTATTTATGTAAGGCGAAATGAGTTGAAGGGGAAATTGAGAGCAGGACGAAATAGCAAAACAGAGTCGATGTAAATACTCCATCTCTCTTTTATAAACTGAGCAGCACTTGCACTTGATGTATAATTGTGTATGTATGTATATAAAGACGTCACATATACACACACAGTTAAGAACACGCTCTCTGCGTGATCTGAGCTATTGCACATGTACATACATACATACATATGGTACATATGGTACATATGTATGTATGTATGTATGTATGTATGTACATATGTATGTATGTACATATGTATGTACATATGTATGTAGCTTATTAATTCTTGAAATTAGTTGACTCAGTGCTGCTGAGCGGAAAGCGTATTCACGTTTCGTCTTAGCTCTGCTCTGCTTTGACTTGCTGTCTGTTAGTTTTTGCTCACTTTTTGCTGCCGTTATTCGTGTTGTTGCTTTGCCGAGCGTTTTGCTGGAATTTCACAAGTGACCGCACACACAAAAATATTTTGCCACACCCGGAGGCGACGCGCACGCCGTCCAACAACCACAATGGGAGCAGCGGCAACAACAACAACAACAACAACAATACGCGGTATATGAGGGTGGCTTCAAGTGCCGCCAGAGCACTTAATACTAATTAGCTTTGCGCCTATGCCGTGACCTACGACCTGGCGCCCCAGCATTTCCGTACGGATTCGGTGCCAATCTGTGCTGCGTTTAAGTGGCCGCAGCACGCAGAAAGCGGTTAGTGGAGGGTGGAGGGTGGAGGGGAGGTGCGCGGTGGGTGGTGCCTGGCGTTGGGCGGGTTAGCAGCTTCGGGCGTCATTTTTATGAGCTAATTAAGTTGTTAGACTTGATGAAAAACTCATTTGCGGGGGAATTTTTTTTTCCGAGCATAAGCCTCGGCAGCCAAACAAATTCCATTGGATACCTAATTTGCATTAATTAAGAGCAGGAAAGATACAACAACAAAATGGATGAGAAATCATGTTTTATTAGCTCATTCGGGGTATATCGATAGAGTATGTGCATAGCTGTTGCAACTAAGTATAGGCTGTGAAACAAATCAAATGAATAGAACTTTATTAATTTAATCTTAATTACTAATATATTATATTAATATTTGATTAATTTTCGTTACGAACGAGTATCCAGACGGTCGGTTACATCCACTCTGCATTTCGCATCGATCTCTAGCCATTGGCCAATTAATAAACATTTTTGCGATTCGCACTGCCAACAAATTTTCTGACAATTTACATTTATTGACTGCCTGTCAACTGCCAACTGTCAGCTGTCCACTGTTGGCCAACAGCAAGCAACGGCCAAAGTCTTGGCCAACACTTTTAACGCCCCTTTCGAGCAACTGCTCGAACTTGATGCGACTAGTTTTGTAATTTGTTCAGCTGCTGCAAGTTTCACTCGAGCAATTGAAATGAAAAGCGTAACTTTTTAATAGCCAACAAAATAAGAAACCTAAGTAAAATAGCGAAGTGAAGAGAAATACTCGAGAAACATCCAAGATTTTTGGTTGCTGGCCTAACTTTTCGAATTATGACTGGGTCGCAATGGAACTGCCAAGTTTTGTCAACGTTTTTATGGTAATTGCTTATAGTTTTTTCTGTGCTGTCCTTTGATTCCTTTCAAGGTCGCAGATTTAGGACTTAACTTGAGAGATAATGCTTTAGTTTTTAGCTTAGAAAACAGCATCTTGAAATATATCAAATGTCAACAGGAAGAAATACGTTGAGCCTTAAAAATTAGTTATAATATAAATATAAGTTAAGTTAAGTTAAGCTATAAGTTAGTTATAACATATTTATATTCAGCAGATAGTAATTTTATATGTATTTTTACAATAAACAAAACTATTATAAATTAAAATCATAATTCAATTTTAAAACAAATATAAATATTAAAATATTTGATATAAATATA